TCTGAATATGGTCTCACTAGGTCCTAATTTACATATAACAACAAAAATATCACATGGTTTTGCAAAGAGTAAATGAAGCTGACCAGTTTGGTTCTATAAAACCTACATGGGTTTTATGAGAAACAGTTTTCTATATTCACCGTACAGAAGTACTACTACGTGCTACCATATTTTTGCTTTGTTAAGTGTTTTTGTCACATTGTCATATTTCATATCCAGAAGCTGTAACACGTGGAAAGTGGGTACTCCAATTATCGTTTGAGATATTTGGGTGGCCCAAGGCTCATCCATTTGAGAAGTCCTGCCATTTCAACAAGGAAGAAGATTTTAATCATCCCGAAGAAGTTATCCGAAAAAGGTGACGAGTTTTGTAGTACCTAGCGAGTAAAAAGCTCGAAAGTACAACGCTAGAGGAACCAATGAAGGCTCGATCTCCGATAATTCAGCCGGCCCCTGCCTAGTACAAGAACAAGACGACATCCTATGCAAGTAGTAGATTTCCTGTTGGTTTCTATTGGTTTCCACTGAATTGGCCATCACCGGTATCCCAGAAGTTATTGTTAATGGCGTACAACAACAAACTTCTGGTTATATTACCTTTTATAATGACATTTTGAGAAAATTACATGTTCTACGAGAATATGCCAAATTAGAATACCCAGATGTCATCATTCAAAACTCTAAACTAGGTTTTTATAAAAAAATGGCTTTGCATTCATTTGTTTCTGGCATACGCGAACCTTATCGTTCTATTCTGTTACGCCCCAACCCTGAAACATTGGAAGTCGCTATCTTTGCTTGTCACAACTATGAAATTTGTAGTTGCAATCTAGCTTCAAAGACTTTGCTAACAAAAACATCAAATTTCCTCAAACAAGACCAAATTTGCAAGACCCTAGACTAAATTGCAGCCACGCCCTTCTACACTTCAAAATCAACACTCATGGAGACGTACTCTAATTAATCAACCACGATTCCCAACTACTCCCGTGATCATGTCCAGGCCTATAATGAGCAACGCCCCTCGCTTACCCATATTATACCAACTTTTAGATCGAGAACCCAAGCTGATCAAAATTTTGATGCTCCCAATCGAAATACCCAAAGTATCAGACCTACGCTTATGTCTACTTCCACTATTAGGCCGAATAATAGTAATCGTCCCGTGAATAGACCCAGCTTCTTTAACAATAATGGTCAAACACGTAATTTTGTTTCCGAAGAACTTACTAACAATGAATCAGCTATAGATACATACTACTACTACCATCAAGAACCTTCTGATCCTGAAGATTATGACTCCCAATATTTTCAAAAGGAATATCATGTTCAATATCAAAATTATATCGATTTGAATATTTGAAAAGCCCCACAAGAAACGTTCGAAAATTTTTATCAATCCCAGAGTGACTCCGGATTAACAAAGTTGATAATTACCAGATACGCACCTTTCGTATTTGTACTTTTTTATAGATACAGGAGCTCCTTTCTTAGTATGAACGAAGATCGTGAATTTCCAATTGTCCCCAACTATATCCTTCCTAAATCTTTTGAAACTCAAACAAATAAAAAAAGTACAATATGCTAGTAAAATCCTTTTGCTTTACGAATGTGGAATACAATATGAAGTAGAGTTTCTATTAATTAATTGGCACAACAGTACGACTGTCTCTTGGGCTATGAAGAACCTAAACATCTAAAATCTGAGGGAATTATAGGCACACCATTCTTAAAATTGCCAATTTAAATTTTATTTGTCATAGCGGTTAAAATCCAGAACGACGACCTAACGAAGTCCACGAACCTTCATGCAAACAAAGTCGGAAATGGTCACGTTATTATACCGCCATTAAGATATAAGGATTCAGATGATTTGACGCCAAAATGATTTGGTCAGTAAACAACTACGAGATAGATTTTCCTGAAGATACCATGGCACTTGACCTCAATAATACCGAGATAAATTGTGAGACACTTATTACTACGATATACAATTCCGACATCTGAACATAGCACAGTCAACATTTCCAGATTAATCCGAACCGAACACATGTATCCCGGAGAACGTGAAAAGATTTTAGAGTTTATCATAATTACCCAATCGCTTTTTTTGAAGCCTAGTGAGAAACTAAAACCATGTAACGCCACTTTTCATACCATTAGAAACTAAACATGACGACCCTATCTTTGTAAAATCTTTCAGCTATCCGTTTCATTCAAAATAAGGATTCAAACAAATTACAAAATTCTTGACGATGAGGTCATTAGACCCAGTACTAGTCCATACTCATTTCCGGTATGCATAGTCCCAAAGAAGGTCGACGCGCATCGGGCCAAAAGAAATACAGAATAGTTATCGATTACCGAAAACTTAACTAAATCACGATCAAGGACAAATATCCATTATCGTGTTACAGAAAAAATTCTTGGTAAAACCTAGGAAGGACAAATATGTTTCCACCTTAGATCTTGCCCAAGGCTTTCAAATAACCATGCATCCAAATTTTCAGAAACCGGTGAAGATTTCTATAACCAATAACTACGTATGCCTTTTGGTTTTGAGAAAACGCCCCTGCAACTACTACGCATTATTAATTCTGTGTTACTTCCTTATATTGGTAGATTCTGTTTTGCACATCCCGATGATATTATTATTTTTAGAAATCTTTACAAAAACACGTCTAACCTCAAAACTTATTTTCGAAGCTTTAATCAACCAACCAACTTAAGATCCAATTAGCAAAACTGATTTTTTTAGAAAATATGTCCTCTTCTTAGGCCACATGATAACACCTAACGGCATAAGACCCAATCCTGATAAAATAAAAGCAATCAAAATTTTCCCATTCCTAAAATCTTAAAACGATTAAGCAAATCCAATCATTTATATTACTTACAAATTATTATCACCGTACATTTATCAGATGCTTGGCAAAATCACTAAACCTTTTACAAAGTGTCTACGTGAAGGAGAAAGAATAGTTGTTGAAAATCACGAGTATGTTAATGCCTTTGTCATTCTGAAGAAAACAATTACCAAGGCCCCGTACTCTCATACACTGATTTTTCAAAACCCTTCACTCTAAACACAGATGCTAGTAACATATTTATTGAAGTGTTCTTTCCCAAATGGAGAACCTATTGATTTTCATTCACGAACTTTAAATTCTGCTGAGCGAAATTATACTACCAGCGAGAAAGAACTTCTCTCAATTATAGATTCGTGTAAACACTTCAGACCTTATCCTTTTGACCATAAATTCACAACAGAGACTGACCATAAACCATTAGTCTGGCTTGCCTCTCTCAAAGAATCTAACCAACGTCTTATACAATGAAAACTCAAATTAGAAGAATTTGATTGTGTCATCAAATACAAAAAAAGGCATGTTGCCGATGCCCCTAGTCGCATCAAAATCCACGCGATAGAAGACGATGCTCTTTCCACATTCCCCAATGTAACGAGATCCCCGAAATTAGCAACGAAGAGTTAGATAAAATTTTGACGACATTAGGTCCCTCAGAAAATTTTTACGATATTTACGAAGTCCCAAATGCCTTTACTTTCCGAAGGACAACCGCTCTGAAGATACTCACATACATCATCCGAGTCTAACCGTAATATTAGTCAAATCCTGAGGAAAACAAAGGCTTTTCCTATATTCAAAAATTGGTATCATATTCAATAGACAGACAAATATAACATCTCTATCGCAGTCAATGACACTATTAACTTTTCGTTAACTCATTGTAAAAGTAAATTTAAACCTTCTAAAAAACTACTGCCAACCAAATACTGCTTATGGAATTTATTATTACTTTGACGAGAACATCATGATAACCATTAACAGTCCTCAGTAAATATTTAACCAAACCAACTCAAATTCATAGCGGCATATAAGCCCGAATATTTATCGAAACGAAAAAACTCTTTACCATTCTAAAATACATAATGGCATAAATGAAACATATGATGATTCAGGAAAATCATTTACACTCCTAGTTAAGAAGAAATTTGTCTCAATAATAAATACAAAAGAAGACCACCTAATACATCCTTACAAGGATCATTTTTTATCACCAAACCTTTCCAACTAATTTTCGTAGATGTCTTTAAGGTAGAAAAGTCTATGTATCTTACTGTTCTAGATCACTAAGCTGTTACGGCCAAGCGTATAACATTACTTCAAGAAATGGAATCGAAATACTAAAAAAATTAAGCATTACTTTTACCACCATGGATACCCCACCACGATTCATGCGATCCTGGAGAATTTCGTTCCCAACTCATTCAAGACTACCTAAATGTCGATAATGTTACTCTGCATCTAAGATCTAACCCAACGTCTATAGCACCTATCGAACATTTTCATAATGAGAATTCTGAGAACAGAAAGGAAATTAGACCCCATTAATGATTTAATTACTGACGCTATCTTAGTCTATAACCAATGTGGTCATAGTACCACAACCTATACACCATTTGTTTTACTTCACGGTCCTACGAAGAAAGAAGTAAACGAAGAACGTAAGGAAATTGCTAAATGCCACTTAGGGAAACAACAAAAGATTCTTGATAAAAATAACAAAATTAACCTTTTTTTATTCACATCAAACATCCCTGTAATCAATATCGAGGGAAAATTCTCGCAATATCACTTTGATACCATTAATCTTGCACTGATCTTACTTTGCATGAATACATCAGAACCATTGTAATTAATTAAGCCAAACAATGATTTTAAGACACTAATCAAGATTTACATCTCAAAGATACCTGCACTAATGAAACAAGAACAATTTCAGAAAGTTCTCAGTTAATTATATATACGAGGCGTGTCCGTAAATAAGTTCCACAAATTTTTTTCATATCAAAAATTGGTTTAATTGCAAAGAAAATACATTTTTGGAAGTTCAGTCTTTCTTCTATTTTTCTACATAATCGCCGTTGCGCTCCTATGCATCTCTGCATTCGAGGCACCCACTTCTTCAAACCAGAGTCATAGAACTCTGCCGCCTGTCCCGTGTAGAAAACTAACAACCGCGTTTGCACCTCTCATCTGTCTGGCATTAGGTTCCGCCAAGGTTTTCTTCAACTCAGGGAAGAGATGGAAGTCACTTGGTGCTAAGTCTGGGCTGTAGGGTGGGTGAGACACCATTTTCCATCCAAATCTTTCGATGAGGACTCTGGTTCGATTGCGGTGTGCGGTCGGGCATTGCCATGGTGAAAACGCCACTCCTTTCGTCAGCATTCCTCTTCTCTTGTTCTGAATGGCACGTTAAGTTTTTTTCAAGGTCTCACAGTACCGGTCAGCATGATTGCTGTCCCGCGAGGCATAAACTCGCACAACAATACGCCCTTTCGATCGCAAAAAAACGCTAGCCATGATTTCCGGGCAGACAGGATTTGTTTGAACTTCTTTGCTCTTGGTGAAGAAGAGTGCTTCCACTGCTTCGATTGCTCCTTTGTTTCCGGTGTGGTGTAGTGTACCCAGGTCTCGTCACCAGTAAAATAGAGTCCAGAAATTCCTCTTCGTTGTTCGTGAAAAGCGAGAAATTCTTGGGCCGCTTCAACCCGCTGCCGCCGGTGGTCTGCAGTGAGCATTCTTGGTACCCATCTTGCGCAGACCTTTGAATAGCCTAAATGTTCAGTCAAAATCTTGTCAATTGTGGTTTTGCTGACCTCCGAATCTTTGTGCACAGCTCCCGAACTGTAATCCGTCGATCTTCAAGCATTGCGCTTCGACTTTGGCAATTGTTCGTCGGAAACCGATGGCCGCCCTGCACGGGCTTCATCGTGGACGTCTGTTCGGCCATTTTTAAAGTCCTGACCCACCTGCGCACCATCCCGCAGCTCATACAGTCATCTCCATACACCTGACAAAGTTCTTCGTGAATTTCCTTCGCGATTCTTATTAGCGACCAGGAAACGAATAACAGACCGCAACTCGCAGCTGGCGGGAGACGAAGAGGAAGCTCCATCGCTGACGGCTGATGAGCCAAGACTAAACGCGACGCTGGCTTGGTGAGGGATTGGAGTGGGGGAACTAAACAATCTGCCTCTGTTGCCTGGCTGTGCATAGAAACGATCCTAGCGCCAGCGGCAGAACGTGGAATTTATTTTACGGACAAGCCTCGTATATCAAAAAACATACACGGACCATGCACAAAATAAACGATGGGTCGCTGTAGCGATGCCGCGCAGATGTGGAAAGGGGCAACGGTGTCACATGGACAGTAACTACCAGGACAGGAAAAGAATGTCAATGGACTAATTCTATGAGCCTATTTAACTGACTTAATCATTTTAATTTCTCTGTTGTACATGTTCGTAACTGACATTTTCTCTGAGGATTTAAATTGCGCACTTGTGAACTGATAACGGCGTTGACGCCTTTTTTTCCAAATGGAATGATCTGACTAATTTTCTCACCTGGGGCAATTTTCACGTTTCTGTATAGTTAGTAGTATGTCTTGGGTATTGCTGCATCCATTCCGGAGATAGAAACTTTTCTCTACTTTGAAACCATAACTTCAACACATGTGTAATGATTTAAACTTATGAAGAACATTGCAGGACCGTCAAAATTCTACCTAAGCGAAATATGTGGGAAATGCTTTACTACCCATATAATTATATTGTAAATCTATTGATTGCTAATGGGATCGCCACTACCCAGATTTATCTTTAACATCATATGGGGCGATCTGAATCTGGCATAGTTTCAATAATTGTTGGATTGCATTATTGAAATTTCGGGTACTTCATATGCCTGTTCTATAGTTATTTCAAATCATACTCTACTTGTCTATCACTTTTAAAATTTTTTGTCTCTTCAGATTCCATTTTAATCCTTATTTTCTACTTACTACATAAATTGAAGTCAAATAGAGAGGAGATACCCTCGAAGCCAAAGAATTTTGTAGACCTTTTACATTTTTTTTGACGAAGCAAATTTGTTATCCAACCTTATTGTTTATTTGGAAGGACATGAGCCTTACAGATTTCAAGGTGGACGGCATAGGGAACCTGTTCGCTGCTTCAGTTATAGAGAACAAAGATGCTTTTCCGTTTAGGTCAGATGATAGTGTGGAAAACAGAAACTTTCGTCTGGCTGATAGCAGTTCTAATAATGTCATTGAACATGTAACTCGAGAGAGTATGGTCTTATTGCCATAATAGATGTGTCTTATGCTCTTTCCACGTAGGAGAACTATTTTGCGTATTAATTCACAATCCCATTAGGTAATGATTTCAGACTGCCATTCATTAGAATGTACCCATAATCTCATTTAGAACGATACCGTAAACCGCACATTACCTCAGATAACTTTGATATCTGTCGAAATTATTTTTGTAATGGCCTTCTTCACCTAATATATTGATATGTTTGGCTGATGAGCTCCTCAGAAATGGTGATAATTTGTTGAAAATAAAAACACATCTGACACGGTTCTAATGGAACAGATAATCTTATGCAATTGGCTCCATATCTGCTATGAAAATGACTTACAGCATTATATAGGAAGTCCGGTAAACTCAGTGAAGTCTACTGTTTAATGGCTGACAATGAATACTAAGTTGTATATTTATAAACATGCTCTTTTATTACCCTTGGAGTACAACTTTTTCTTGTAAATTGACACCTAGCCATTCTATTTTTCAAAATTAAATTTATTCTATTTTAGTGTGGTAGTCAAAGGATATTAGGCAAAAACGTGATTTCAGGATTTGCACAGTACTTATGTCTAAGTTCAAGTAAATGTTGCTTAGGTCTCATGTTGATTGTAAAAAACATTATAATATATATTATTTGGAAAGATCAGTTATAGGCTCATTGTATGTATCCTGTAAAATATGCCATGTATATGCCTTTTGCTATTGTAATTGTATACGTATTGTAGACAATGGGTTTGTACCAACAACGCTGCGTACCGTAACATTGTACCGTCACGCACGTGCGCAGTCCGCTTGAAGTGTTCCAACACAAACCTATGACGGTTCATGGGACGCTTGATACACTGTTTCCAACAGATCTCCGACAGTTCAACGAACGGTTTTTTTTGGACCGTCAAAACAGTACCTGGTCCGTAGCGAGGACTGTGAGTCAACACATGCGCATTGATAGAAATTAGAATGTTGAAATTTGAAGGTTATAAGGATAAGGAATGTTGTTTTGCCATGGAGAATCAAAATATCCCAGCTTATGGTAAGTTTGACGACTATGGGGTCGAGACGTATGGAGCTAACTGCCTTCTGTTTACAGAACTAACGAGTTCTTGTTATGCCAAATACAAGTGCTCTGCAGAGCGAGAGTACCACGGCACGAGCACCAGAATTTAGATGGAGTCATCAGGCAACCAAAATTCTCATGAAGTTTATGGAACCTTTAAAAGGAAGCTAGGTTCCTTCGACGTCAAAAATTCAAAGATGATGTGGTGGAAATATCACAGGCTTTACTAGACTATAATATTAAGGTAACGCCAAACAATGCATGAATAGATGGAGGGTACTGGAGCGGAACTATAAAAAATATGTTGATAACCAAAGGCAAACAGGTAAGAGGACTCCTAAAGCTGAGAAGTAATTGAAATTGCCTTTTAATTATGAATCCAATGAGATACACCATAGTTAGATGTAAAAGCTAAGGCAACTTTGCATATGCTTGGCAGGATGTAATTTAATTTTTTCCTGTAATTTTAGGTAGGGGAAGAACATTTTTTGAGTATAAGCATGAAATGGAGGAGGTATTTCTCAAGAAAAAAAATATCCATCCTGAATTGCTGCTAGCAAGTGATCAAATAGATACTCAAATAGATATGAACAGTGATAATGCTATCACTACAGCTGCACCAGATGTCTCTTCACCATCTAAAAGCGTAAGCAGCCCAAAATCATTGCAAGCAGTGACACCACAGAAGAAAAGTCAGATAATTCGAAAAAGACAAGGTATTATGGAAAAAATAAGAAGTGACCGCAAAACGTATTATGAGGAAAAACTGCACATAGAAAACTTAAAATTAGAAGAAATGAAAAAAGGAACCAACTGATTGAGGAACGAAACAACATCCTCAAAGAAAAGCAGTGTAACTGTCACCAAACAAGCTCCTAGCTTTACTGTATTTTGCCATTAAAGTTAAGTCATAGTTTATTAGTGTTGTTGTGTTCAGTATTGAAATATTAATTTTATATTATGTTATGTTCAAATTTGATTTGTGTTCTAGTTTTATATTATTGCAAATGAGTACATAAAGTTCAAACAAATGGGTATGCACTCTTTTTCCAGTACTCTTCAGGACCTTGTAGAGGAAGGTCTTAACCTTAATTAGATACTCAACAGTTTTGAAAATAATGGGTATGCAGACATTAACTCGTTCATAACTTGAATGCTTAACATAACGTCAGAAACAAGTTAGTAGTGACCTATGTGTCAAGTGATCCCAGTATTCTCAACAAAATGGACACAGCCCAAAACTCTGTAAATTATTTAAAGTTGAGCATTTCCGAGTTATAAGCAATTTATGTCTGAACATCTCTACAAATAAGCATTTTCTGTGTTGAAACTTATGGTTTGCATTGACAGGTGTCTAAATCAAAGTTAAAACCTTCCCCTACCACATACTGAAAAGTGTTATGGAATTAGTTTATTTTAAAGTTACTTATAAGCTTATTTGGTAGGCTGAAATAGGTGCAAGTGTCATTTGAACAGGGTGTACTCTGCTTGTTTTGATTAGTTTTCAGTTGTGCAATTCCTTTTGGATAGACTGATTTATGTTTTGTTGCAGTATCTCTAATTAGCTTTCAAGTGTGTCATTTATGTTGTGATGGTACAAAGAATTCATAATTAATTTGTCTACCTCATCACTGGCTGGTGAATCAAACACATGAGTGGACTTATTTATGGACATTTCAGCTGCCCTGGCAGCCTTTATCATAGTGCAAAATAAGAAAAAAAAGACACGAAATGTTGAAAGTTACAGTAACATTATGAAGGGTTTTCTATTAAATAGCTCTGATTCTAAATTCATATCAATATAGATCGTCAGTGTAACTCTTAACTGTCTATTCTTATTGTGTACTTTTAAAATGCTGCTGTCACATAAAGTAGTAAATAAGTTCATTTAATTATGTGGTTTAACTGACTGCCCATGGATGAATAAAACTAATCTAGCATAGAACCATGTGATAAGTTTCAAGTGATTTTAATTGTTGATTAATACTTTATGCAACATGAAGACTGATTTTTTAAAT